AACAGACTATACTAACTACATTCAAATATGCTCCTGTAATATCCTAGCTGCAACTAAACCCGGAAAACCGAAAAGTGTAAATATCTCACTGCACTGCAAGTGATCACACCATAACTTTGAAAACACTGCAGTCAGTGCAGACATGGGTACACACACTACAAACAAGTACTGTTAAGAATTTAGAGCTATACATTACATACTGTGGATTGAAACAAGGAAGTGGCACAAAACAAACTAATGAGGTTTTCTAAAAATGGAAATAAAAAGTTATTTAGTCCTTACAAGATGCAGTAACTACTACTACTACTAAAATGTAAGCTACAAGGAAATCAAAAAGGACAGTGGGACAAGGTCAAATTAGTGACTGCAAAAACCAGACAATTCCAACACAAAATAAAAACCACTATTTGATAACCATAATTTGAAACAGGTCTGAACCAAAAGAAACCTAAAACTAAAAAATGCTGATTATACCCGCTGCATCGCTAATTTTCCCAAGTACATGAAATCTAAGTCTCAGCAAATTCATTCATCAAACTCGTAACCACACTGAAGCGTGACTGTCAAAAGAAACACCCGCATGGCAAGATGACCCAACTCTAAGGCTACGTCCACACTAATGTGTTTTCTCTCCGTTTTGGCCTCCCGTCCACACTGAGACGGCGTTTTCCTCAAGGAAAAACACAGCGTCTTGAAAACGCATACATTTCAAAACTGAGCTGCCCCCTCGCAGTGTGGACGCTCATAAACGCAGACGTCCTAAAATGATGACGCATTTTAGTCATGTGATGCAGTCATGTGAATAATTAAACAAAGATAGCTGAGTGCATTGCACAGCAGTTGTTTTGATTGCTCTCAATTTTGACCGACCTAAAAAAGATTAATATAAGTTTGTACATGCTCCTGTTAGCTTCTCTTCAAATTCTTTAATTTTCACTCGCTTTTGCGCAGGACTGGAACGTAAGTGATTTCGGTCGTTTCAATGTGAACGCACAACTCTGTGAAAACGACTGAAAACACTAGTGTGGACGCAGAGCATTTTCAGACGAAAACGCTGTTTTCAAATCTATCCGGGCTAGTGTGGACGTAGCCTAAGGCAGCACATATCCATTACCACAGATCAAAATCATTCACAGTTTCCTTTTAAGACTCCTCTGCCAATCAAATTGCAGCTCAGAAAGCTGAGAGGTGGCACCCCTTACATATGCGTGTCCTTTTAGAGTCACGAGTTGGTGAAACTTCTTTCTGTACTTTGTGCCAGATGATTCAGACACCCTGTGAGTTGTTTTATGTGTATGTTGTATATTCTTTTGTATTTTAGAGGAAGAGAAGAACCAAAATGAATCTAAGAACTGTGTGGAGAAGGAGATCAACACAGACCCATGGCCAGGGTACCGCTACACAGGAAAACTACGCCCTCACTACCCTCTGGTAAGTAATGAAAAATGAACGGGCAGGCAGAACAGCTACAGTCCACTATATAGGACTGCATTAACCTGCACTAGCCAAACAAACTGGACTTTGGGGATCAAACATGGCATGGTATGGATAGCCCAGCTTCAGTACACTACTAAGCCTAGTTTATGGTCATTGCATTGGTTATTGCATGTAAAGTTGTCTTGCTGACAAGATAAACTAGGTGTACACATAAAAGGTGAAGTGAAATGACATTGAGTTATCTACATGTAATAAAATCATCCCAACAAGTATTTCACAGA